GGCCGATATCCGATATGCCGATATTTTAAAACTCATGTAGCCGATAACCGATATCGATACTGATGTTAAAGCTGGACAAAAATAAGTAGTCATTGAAAATAGCAGTTTTGTTATCCATTTCTGACACTTATAAATAATATACTCAAATATATTTTTATATGCTGATATCAAATTGATTTTTAAAAACGCGGTATCGATCTATTTTACTTTCAAAATCTCGTGAAATTTAATTGTTCTGTTACAAACTCTCGTGATATTTTGCAAATTCTTCTGAGATTTTGTTAGTAAAATAGATCGATACCGCGTCAATATATCAACATATAAAAATATGGCAACATTTCGTGAATTTTCGGGGGATTTCGTAGCATAATGATGACATATAGTAATATTTCATTAGTAAAAGAGATTGATATGGTGTTTTTAAATGGCAATATATCAGCATATGAAGACAGTGTGATATTTTAATGTATCAATATTTTTTCCCTTCGTCTTTAGAAGTTTTTAAGTCTGTAAAAAAGAAGTTTTTGAGGAAGAAGAAGCAGTAGTATTTTTTTTTTTTTTAAGACTTTAGAAACTGCTGATCAAATATCGGGTTAAGTATCGGTGGGGTGGCCGATGTCCGATATTCAGTTTTAAGGCCAATACAGGCCGATACCGATAGGGGGCCGATTATATCGTGCATCCCTAAAAATTGCAATTGCAACTCAGTTATTTAACAAAAATTGTGCAGCCCTTCTATGGACAGAATGGAGGTTCATCTTCCAGCAGAACAGACACCAACAAATAAACAGGTGTATATGAGAATACATTTATTTGTTCAAACATCCTAAGATTAAAGCCTGCTAATATGAGGCAAGAAAAGTCACATTTACACACTTTCCTCCTGATCTGACTGAGCTATTTGGCAAACTGTGGATAATAAAAAAAATCCAGATGAGCATACCTGGTTAGACCAACATACCCATAGTCAATACCCATTTATACCTTCAGTTTTGTTGGAAAAATACCTCAAAGCGAATATTTCCCTTTAGCAATGTACAAAAAAACAATTTAATTACTTAGTTTTTTTTTTGTTTTTGAAGCGTATGGCGACCTAACCTTAAATGTTTTTTTTTTTTGTACATGACTAAAGGGATACATGCCCATTGACATAGTTTAAAGTCTGTTTTTCGTACATAACTAAAGGGATAAACACAAATCTGAGGTCTTGGGCATGCGTACTGACTATGGGTATGCTGTGACGGGTTATGCTGATCTGAAAGAACACCAGCACAATCGTAACCTGTTTGGATTATTACTTTACACACTTTCGGTAAGCAGGCATAATGTCTGTCCACATTACAATCATGTACGGCGCTGTCATGGGTAAATCTAAGGAGAGTTAGAACAGTGTGCTTGCGCTCCGAGAGGGCTCAAAGAACCCTGTGCGATCGCCACAGCTGCCACTCTGAGTTCCTGAGCAAACTGCTCCCCGGGCGCCACACAATGGCAGCCCCTCTCCAAGGGGCTGGGTTAAAAGCATAGGTAAATTTCTCCATTGTGACATCAATAAAGTTAAATTATTGTAGTTATCTTAATGTCTGAGGAAACACAGTGATGTTTAATGAATGCAAATTCTTCTTAGGAACTGGGAGAAAACATTAGAAAACACTGAAGATTACAGCTAGTTAAATAATGGCCATTAAATGACCTAAGCAAACCCTGGCTAACCCTAGCAATGTCATCCGGTCTGTAAAGTCAACTTTACAACACTTTGTGCAAACAAACACAAACAAGGAATGACATCATAGGGGAAAGGGAGTGGGTAGAAAAACAAGAGAAGCTGTGTTTGACCAGAGATCAGCTCTGTGATTGGACGACTCCAGCACTGAACACGGCTCCAGCCCTGGGCGACTTCAGGACACTGATCAACAAGGAGACACTCAGTGGGGGTGGAAAACCACTCGCACTGCCGCGTCCTGAAAGTGAGCAGGAATCTAAAGCATTGAAGAAATTAAACATGCACACAGAAGCTTCCCACAACACACGCCTGCACAGCGATGCGAAGTGAGCAGCCAGTGAACACTGCAGCACCAGGCTCAGAGGGATGTGTGTGTTACCATGGAAACGGTTACATAAAAATAAAAAAATCAGAGGATCCCAGGGATTTCTCAAATCTGTCTGTGCCTCCCAAACAGTTCCAACACTTTATAAAAGAACTGCACCAAACAATCAAAAGGCCTGGTCGAATATCAGGAAACACTTTGGTTTCAGTTCTGCATGACTCGGCAAAGCCCTGATGGTGCAATTTCCTTTCAGCTGGGAAAACCGTTCACTCCTAAGAGAACCTGCACCACTGGATACCGTCGTCACGATGACATGCCAAAAATAATAAAAGTTCACCTTTCTGCTCAATTTGCTCTGTTTATCATCATTTAGTGTTTAGATGAGAGATTGTAGCTGTAAACCCAGACATTAAATTGACTCATTATTTTACTATTGACTATTTAATTTGACTTACAAATGTAGAGTATTGTGATGCATGTTAAACATTAGCATAGAGCATTTATCTCATATCATGTACAACTGAAATGTGAGCTGTAAATTACACTAATGAATACTAAAAAAAAAAAAAAAAATAACCATTGATTTAAAGTAAGTTTCTATGTTACACAAAGAATGGACTGTTTTGCGACTATAGGAAATAATATCCATCTTAAGAAGGTCTTTCATAGTCACTTCAGATTGATAAAGGCCAACAGTCTGTGCAAAATAAAAAAGAGTCAACTTGCCTGAATCTGAGTTTAATTATGAAATGCTTCAGAAACATAATTCAAATAAATACATTATATGTGAGATTTAGGTGCTTTAGGGCTTATATTTCCCCAATAGGGTAAAAAAAATTAATACTTTTCAGTGAATCAATATTCATAAACGCTGTATCTGGATACATAGTCATTTGGCATGCTAAGGATACTAAAATCAACTTTTGCTTATTTATGCGATTGTTAAATTTAGACATCTGGAATATCTGCAGATATAATAATACCTCAGACAACATTAAAAAATTGTCAGTTTGGGTTTTATTTGGGTTATTTATTTTGCATTCATTTCCACAATGATGTAATTAGTATCCTTGATTCTGTTGAGAAAGAATGCTCCACATTGAGGTGAATAGAGGGCACATTTTTCATGATAAACATATCAAACATTATGTAAGTCCTTGAACTACAAAATGATTCCTTAAATCATTTCGTACTTCAAAATGATCAAGGAATGAAATGATTCCTTAAATCATTTATCTCCATGCTATCAAATTTGGTATCAAATATTGAATATTTCTCTGGGTATTCAAATAGACTTTACACTCTTTTGTGATGTGACAACCCTAGCACCAATAACCTAATCAAAAATGGCGGCCATTACCTTTAACTAATATGCATGTATAATGCACTGATCAGGATGTGAAATGTTTTTTTTTTCTTAAATAGCCTCATGAACTGCTTAGATAATAGTGTTGACTTCAAGGTTTTATACAGTTTAAAACTATTCCTGACATTTTGAATTGAAAAAGCTTCCTGAATGGGAAGCAAAAGGTCTTCTAATCAGATAATTCACGTATGAATCAATATTCCACTTCATAGTAAAATCAACTTTAGGGGTTTCTGCAACAATTTAAAAAGAGAATTATGATCACGTGACACATGTGTTACACAGTTATAGCATTTTTATTTCCATATACTGTCAATTGTTTAAAAAAAACATTACATTATGGACAATTTATGATGTTATCAGCAAGCAGAATTTATTTCTTTAAGAGAATAAAACTAAAATATGAAATAAAGTATTGTCCCTCCCGATTTCTAAGCATCAGCTCTTGGGTTTTAAACAACTAACATGGTCCTTAAAGAGTAAATACAGCACAGTTCATCAGGACTTGTTATCAGCTGATAAACTTATCCTCATCTGGTTTATACCTGGAGATAAACAGGGAGTTGCCCTACTTACTGACTCCCTCTGACCCTCCACTATGTGAGCCCTACAGAATGGGACGGGCGGGGCCCACAAGAGCATGGATGTGCGAGTTTGCGCATGCGCAGAGCGTGTATTTGTGGGAGTCATGGGGATGGGGTGTAGTGCACGTGGTCGGTGTGGGTGGATCTTAGCACGCGGCATGAAGCAAAGGAAGGGGTGTCTGACACGTCATCAGCGGGATCAAGACACACAAAGCACCCCCCCTTTGACCTAATCACCACACATTGCGCCCCACTTATCAGGTTCCATTCCAAACAAAATGAGGAACGACCGTTCCCTGTTAATGGTTCCCTCGCAACAGAAACAGAAATGAGAGGAGCGCGTGAGGGGGGGGTGAGCCCCGCCCTGAAGCCCGTGTGTGTGTGTCATAAGATATCTGAGCAATGTCAGACTATTATGTAAAGAGCAAGCCTCTCTGCTCGACACCGCCCTGCCGGTGCCCACCGAAACAGCATAATAAAAACGAATCCACTTAAATTAGTTGTATCACATTATATTCAATCTGGTACGATCAACGTTGATTTATGAGCTTTTATAAAATACTTGAGAGAATGGATTGTTAACACCGCATAATTAAAATAATAAAAGAAAAAATAGTAGGTTTAACTTTCGGATTCCAAGACAGATTATTTTTAAAAGGATCATTTGTACTGAAAGGAAATCCTCTGCTATGCTTCCCTTTGCACGCAGACGCGCGCGCGTACGGTGAGTCACAAGGGTGCTGACACACACACACACAAACACACACACATACATACAGGGGCGCGCAGAGAGGTAGTTTAGAAAAACATTCCTGGCCATTTCCGCCTTCAGGTTCAATGATCAATGCATGATCCAACAAGTCTGACCGGTGAAAGTGGTATTTAATCGGCGGCAGAAAGCCTTTCAGATCCCGCCCAGCAGCAGACAGACAGGCAGGTTTAACACTACAGCCGCAGCTCTCCCAAAATGTCCCTCCGCTCCGCTAAGTTTACTGCTCAACTCACCGAGTCTGGTTTGTTGTTGCTCGGCTTGCCATTCCAGGTACCTGGCTGCCTCCAAAAGTGTGTCGATACTCATTTCGCGTAAACCTTGACGGCAGGGGCGGGGGATAGGGGGGGAGGGAACCCGGTGGTCCGGGAAGGAAAAAAGAGGGGAGGGTAAATGAAAGTAGTGCCCCGGTATAAAGCGTTGCGTGCACGGGCTTACACCCGTGTGAACCTCCTTGTGTGGTTCTCCAGCAAACAGGCGGCTAGCTTTTTTTCCCCAATCCAGCCAAACAGAAAGTAGATCCCCCACCAATTACGTATTTTAAAAAAAGGAAAGGAAAAAAAAGATTGCAACAAGATGGCGAAGCGAGCGCGAGAATACACACACAACAAGGCGAGTCGTGTTCTCGGTAAGCTCCGCCCCTCCCGGATTCCTGCCCCGCCCTTCTACTACAGCCACCCCTAAAACCCGGCGACCACTTCACGCCTACCGCCACCTCTCCGACGTTTTTCACAATAACTAAGCGGTCAAACTATTACATTTATCCTACAACTAAAACAAATATTTAGATTAAATATCTAGAAGTAACTCAAATCGACGTGTGGCATCGCTTTGCACACAAACGTTATCCGATGACGTCGGTGATCCTCCGCGCTTTTGCTCCAGCCGTTAACCCGCAGCGCGTGCAGAGCGATCAGAAGCCAGTCAGCCAATCAGCGCTCAGAACAACAAGGCATGGTGCTGGTCCACATGGGCACCCGCCCGGCTCGACGAGGAGCTTATTTGCATGGCGAGAGCGTGACTGGCCACCCTGCTGTCTCCAGATCAGTGCTGTCATTCAAACGAACAGGGGCGTGGTCCGCTGTACAGCGTGGAAGTGGGCCCTATCTGAATGAGCAGCTGACTGCAGTCTGTACTGTCATTTTACCACAGTAAACACGGACATAAAAGAACAATTTATAATCATCCTGTCTTATTATGAACAGGAATGATGCTGTGATATTTTACATTGCATTAAATGATTAATAAAAAAGAAAATTTCTTTACAAAAAAAAAGAGTACTTTACTTTTTTTCTTTTTTATATCCATGATTGGTTGTAAGACTGGGCCTTAGGGGCCAGTGCCCCTTTAGAACTGGTCCTGGCCCCTGTAACAAAGCCTTGGACTAATTATTCTTTTATTGTTAGGTTTATTTTATTGTCATAGAGCTGGGGTCTTCAGTGTTTTCCAGGCCAAGAACCCCCAAACTGATGGCCTCCATTTATGCCTCCATTTATCTGTTTACTACAGTGTGTTTAATTTATGTTAATGTGTATTAAAAGACATTTCAATTAGAGGCAAAACATTGCAGGGGGGAATATAAAAAAAAAAGTCTAATCTACTGAAAATTTCATTGATTAGACTGTTGAAGACATCTGTCATAGAGAATAACATAAAAGAGATTCCAAATCATACTTCCTGAGTGATTTCATATTAGTTTTAACTGCATTAAAAGATAATGTTTTTGCCAAACAATAATATAGATTTATTTTTGTTTTAACCGTATATGGACGTCTTAGCGAATCCCCCCCAGTGGTAAAAAATATGGGTATTATTTGTAATGGCACATATTTTTGTCATTCGCGAGAGCTTAATTAACCAATGAACTATTTGAACAGTCTGGGGCCCAAATTCAACCCCTGCTGCACCTCAAATGTAACCATGGTGACTTATAATTTCCTGTCTGTTGTTGGGATAACTTTTGACCTGTTAAAGTACAAACCCATAGTATACCTGAAGTGTATGCTTAATAATTTACAGTCTTTTGTATTAAATGCTCTCTTTAGATAAATTGTATTTTAATTGAAAACCTGCTGAATCCAAACTATTATTTCTAGGCTGTTTTCAGTCGCATTGTTTTTGTAATTGGATAAATGCTTCTGTTTTCATTTTATATATAAATATATCGATTGTAAATGACCTACACTTCTGACATAGATTTCAATGTTATGGAACGGGTTGCAGATATTTTGAAATATTTAATTTCAGACTACAGGCATCTACAGCTGGTAGGAGCATCTTTTGATGTGAAAACTACATTATGCACCCATATCTAGATTATGCACCCAATAAATCAGATCTTCATGAAAGAGTGGCAAGAAGAAAGCAATTTTCTTTGAAGCAGGCATGTTTGCCCTCCAGTATAGCGAAAATACTTAACATGTGGTTAGAGCTAAAACAGAAACCTTGTTTAGATCAACATCAGTAGAACGTGATTGGCTTCTTTTTTTCTTTATTCCCACGCTCTATAAAAATCTTGCTGTATTGCAAAGCTAATTTGTTGAAAATTTTTCCTTTTGCATGGTGCAAATAGATTATGTCTGTTTCAGATATCAGACAGCATGACATGAATCTCACACTGATGTAAAAAAATATATGCAACTGGTCTCTTTCAGGGTAAAGGGAATTAGAAAGTGTTTTTATTAATGTTTTATGTTCAGGCAACGTGGAGACACGTGTAGGTTATCCATGTGGCTCCATGGTAACAGTCCTTGATTGGACACCACTGAGTTCATGTATATGCTCCAACACATCAGAGGACTGACCACATCAGCCAATCACAACAGCTGCACAGGAGTACTTTCGAGCTGTTGTCACCAATTCCACATAAAAAAAAAAAAAGTGTTTTAATCTGAGGTGAAAAACAAAGATTGCTGATGTGTTCACATAGATATTTACTCAATAAAGAAAAAGAACTGCATGGGGGAGGAGGTATTTTGCATGAAAATGAAAAGCGTGGCAGCCTGTGAGAGAGGATTGAGTAAATGTGGATGCAAAAGATGCAGCACATGGTAAACACATGAGCTGCATGCAAAGCAGAAGGGGGAAAAAACTCGGCGTGAAAAAACTGAGGTGTAAGTAGGTAGAGGAGGAGCAGAAAAAGAGGAGTGACTTGGATAGACACCGGGGGGGGGGTAAGGAAGGGATGGGGTGACCCAGTTAGAAACGCTGCATCACTTGTAGATCTACAGAACAAAGATGAAGAAATGCACCAATTTTATAGAGATACAATTAACTGTGTCGAGTCAAAAGGAGAAGAAAAGCCAAGATGGCTTCAGCTGCAGAGGAAGAGATACAACATCCCTTACTTTTTAAATGTTGTAGAAAAAATAGTTTAGCTAAGCAAAAAAACATATTTAAATTAGATCAATTTTGATAAAATGGGTTTTCAAAGCTTCTTTCACTGATGATCGAAATGGAGACTAAATTAATCAACTATTTTAGCTGTAAACCTGTTTTTAAAATGGATCCAGTGTCAGCATGAGACCATACTATCTGACAGAATATCTGACATAATATAAACATGATATCTGATTGCTTATTTTATAGCATCAATGAAAAATATTGATTCCTCTGTTTCAGCCAAATCCATTGCCTTTTCATTTCTTTTTGACCAACACCAGGACTTTTTTTTCTTTTTACAGTTCCTTTTCTCAAAAAAAAAAATCTAAATCATCAAATAAATTATTATTACAGCTTTAAAAAGGTTTTCTAGACATATAACTCTGTATGTTTTCTTTATATTTTACTTGGTAGACTCACATAGAGCCTGATCTGTAGAGGGTCTTCGTCTTAAAAAAGGTGCAAACACGTTTGTATGACCAGAGCGGATCTTCAAAGAAGATGCAAAGTGATTTGCAATTCAGCAGACACCATGATCTAACCTTTTTTTTTTTTTTTGCATTTGTGCTTTCGTCAATATTCAGATCATATTCTGATGGTCAAATGCGATATGCAGCAATAGATCAATCTATCGATGGATAGAACAGTAAATTATCTATTTGTCTTGAAGTAAATGCAGCTGCACACATGCACCACCACACTTTAAATTTACATGTGCTTTATAATTATGTGCTGCTTTTTGTTGGCATATAAGATTAAATATGAATAGAAATCACAGGTTTTTTCCAGTAATAAATGCAAAACTAATGGCATATAAATGTTTTTACAAGGCTCTTAAATGTACACAGGTGTAATATAGAACAACAAAACTCTTACCTGACTGAACCACTAGAGGGCGCTGTATGCTTTTTACTTCCCCTCCCTCTCCTAAGGCTTTTCAGGGATTACAATACAAGTCACGTCAACTACAGTGAGATTGATGCAAACTGTACCTGTATCTGATGACATGAAAAGCCCTCATGTGAGCACAGATGCAGATATCAGCCACAGTCTGCACCTCAGGGACTGATACACAACTGCACATATCAGCTGAAAGGCAGGAAGCTCTTTGAAAACACTCTCTGCACTTAGAGAGGATCAGTTCTGCAGGACCTGTCTGTTTTAAACACTCACCTTGAAACCTCTCAACAGATCCATGACATGCCAGCTTGTTTGGATCAGAACCGGCTTATATCTCCATGCAGCTTCTCTAGCTCTCTGCTATGAAGTAGAAATCTAGTCTCATCAGAGGAAGAGGAAAAATAGGTGACCCAAAACACAAAATGAGAAAATTAGATTTCTTTTCAACTCTTCTTTTTCTTTTTTCCAGTTGTTTTTGTCTTGCATGAGGGAGAATGACTGCTCAGAATCTAAGGAGAGTAGATGGAGGTAGGCCAATGTTTCTACTCCAGTGCCTCTAGTGAGAAATGTATTTCATCTGTCTGTCTTACTAGTACCACTCCACCTCACCAAGCTCCTAGAGCCATAGTTTATGAATTAGATGTAAACTGTGTGAAAAGTTCGCCACACCAGGATTTTATTGGTTAAATGAAATATAGTTGTAATCAACCCTGACCCAGTGTCAAATCTGAATTTAATGTTCTCATTTTAAATTGTAATTTATAAAAGTTATCTACTTTGTATGTTTAACAGAAAAGCAAAAGCAAAACCCAATTACTGTCAGACCGGTAGAACCAAGAACTCCTTTAAACAGAACCCCAATAACGACACAAAGTAGGATAAATATACATGTTGCGCCGATGCCAGTTTTTGGCCCCGATACCGATACCCGGCTGTGCATCATTGGCCGATACCGATACCATTTGTTTGAAATTCATGTGTGGGTGTATATTAGGGTTGTCACGATACTAAACTTTTCAGCTCGATACCAATACTAAGTAAAATATTCGACACTCGATACCCTTTTCGATACCACAAGAATAAAAACAAAGACTCTAAAATTCTACAGAAATATTTTCATTACTAAAAAGATACAAGAAATAAATAAAAAAAACAATAAGAATAATATTTTGAGGTTGTATGCTGTGCACAACATTAAGCAAGCTTGATAAAAAAAAACTTACAAAATTAAACTTAAGTGTTCCTTCCTTGACTATGTTTTGCAGACATAACAATGACACTAGCCAAACCAGTTAAAAAACAAAAATAATTCTCAGCAGCTGCACCTATTACAAAAAAAGTTAAACTGAAAAATGCACAGAATTATTCAATCACACAGTGTTCAGAAAGTGCATTTTCCACTATTCTGCACTTTAGATGGCTGTATCGATTCTATTGAAAATGAGTATTGTATCCGGATACGTTTCAGGGTTGTCAAAAGTATCGATACTCAAAAAAGTATTGATACTTTTGACAACCCTAGTGTATATATGAAGAACTGCATACTACTTGGATGTAAAATAATTGCCATCATGGCTTTGTCAAGCTGCTGCTTACCTTTGGAAGCAGGAAAAAGACTAATACCTGGAATGGGTGACAATAGTTGAATAAACGTTTTAGTTGGTACTCGCCGATACCGATACCATTTTAGTGCTGGATTGGGGCCCTGCCCTATACTGGTATCGGTGCAACACTAAAAAAATATAACAAAAAAATAACAGAAAATGGATGGTGTATTTGGTGTATATTTGTTATTGTTTATTTTCAGTTTCATGTGGTGCCATGTCATGGAGCTTTGAAGTGATTCCTAAGCTTTTAGGGAAACAGTGAAAGACATAGCGCACAAAAGAGGAAAACATGGAACAGAGGCAAACATTTCCCAGAACAGCCAACCAAAATTACTCCAGGAGCACATGTGAAATTCATCCAGGAGGTAATGATAGAACCTCAGTTAAGGTCTGAGTTTTTGATTCAAAAAGAAAGAGCACAGGGCAGACAGGGCTGCAGAGGGGACTTCCAAGGCCTAATAGACTGATAATCAAAAAGTAAACAAAGGCTTTTAGTTAAAAAGACAAAACAAAAAAAATCTTTCCATCTTCTACTGCTTCTCCTTCAGGGTCACCTGGGGCTGATGCCCATCTCCAGCAATCTGTATATCCTTGACAGGTCACCAGTCTATCTCAGGATAACAAAAACATACTTAAAGGCAATTTATGAAAAAAAAATAACTTAACAGTTATGTTTCTAGGCAGCGGGAGGAGGAGGAGGAGACCAGAGTACCCGGAGAAGACTCAAGCATGCAAGAGGAGACTCCATGGAGAATGACCCTAGCATGGGGATCATATCCAGGACCTTCTTGCTACAAGCTGCACCACCCTGCAACTATTTATTTTTTTGAATTTGAAACAGTCTAACATGGTGGCGGCAGTATGAGGCTTTTTTGCTTTTTCAGAACCCAGGGGAAATTAGTCTTTTTTTTCTTTTTTTTTTAGTTTATAAAGCTTTCCGACAGTGAATGATCAGCAGCTTGCAGTGAAAAAGAACTTTTCCATTCACAATGGAAAAATTCCACATCTGGTAAAAAAAAAAAATCCTATGGAAGAATGTCCAATAATCCATCTTTGACTTTAATTGCATTTGATTTATGCAGCAAGACATAGATTTAAAGGATATAGTGAGACATCAAAGTTGCTCAAAAAACTTTTGTTTTGTTGTTTTTGTTTGTTTGTATGTTTTTAAACTCAACAAAGCTGCTGCAAAACAATCAATCAGGTCATTCATGGTCAGAAATCTTCAAATGTGGCTAAAACAAAAAATAAATAAAGGAAAATTACCATACAGTTATGTGACTGATTTCCAGGTACCCAATACTTTCTACACTTATGAAAAAAAGTACCAGAATATATTTATATGGGGGCAAATACTTTTTTACTGCACTGCATGTTTTTCCTGTTTGGATCCCAGAGATTTTGACTATAACTTTCAGTTTCTATACTGACGTGTTTTTCAGTATAGGAGAGTTCTGGAGTGCTTTTCTTAAAAGAAAAAAAAAAACACACACACACTCTGGCAACTGCAGCCTGGATACCACTGAGCACTCCAAATTAATAGAGGCTCCAAGGATGGCTGAGTATGCGTGAATGCAGAAAGCTCGGCTGGTGTGCATAATTCATGAGCAATCCTGAAATGTCTCACTAGGTCTTGCCTCTCCACAAGCCTGACTGTGAATCTGCGTTGTTGCTGATGAGTAAATATCAGATAACCAAGTAGTTTTATCTCCATAAAACAAATCTATGTATTTATACAGGTGCGTATAACTGCTTATATAATGTCTAGTAGTGCAGATGTTATAATATAGCATTAAACAAAACTGGTGAGACTGAACCAGACACTTATACATAAATAATAATAGCTGTCTAGAAGAAAAAGTTTGTGTCTAGTGACCTACTTTCCTTTAAAAACCTCCAACTTGGTGACCTGAAGCTAAGGACAAACATTTCAAGACACACTGGCAGTTTAAAACGTAAGTGAAAATTAAACACTCTTCCTTCTGTCACTTGATTTAGAAGGAAAGCTGCAAATAGGTTCATTTGATGTCATAAAGTTTATCCAATTCTTTAACCCTGTAATGCCAAATGTATCATATTTGATACATATGGTTTCTGAAATGTTTTGCGTCTGACACCTTTTGCATAATTTAATGGTAAAAACTTTGCTCAAAATCCTATTGTACACAATCAGATATACCTGATAACAGAGGGCAGAAGACTACACAAAAAATAATCTTGACTTATCGCATAGTAATAAATTATTAATATCAAAAATGTATTTCTGACTTCAAACCAAAAAAAAGTAATTTTCTGTTTGGTTTTATTCTTGGATCGGGCTTTAAAGGGTTAAAGGCAGGGGTATTTTGGTGCCAAAGGGAAAATATGTTAGTAAAGACTTTAAAAGCAACCATTCCTTTCCAAAAATGTAGTCCATCATTTCAAAAGAGAAATAGGACAAGAGGTATAAAAAAATCCAACACATTGTTCAAATTAAAAGGTGAATATGTATTTATTAATTTAAGGTGTCTAGGAAAATGTTTTACTTAGAAAAGAAAGGAACTGCATAATTCAGGTATGCAATGGTCAGCCGTTTAGATCACAGAACAGCTCTTTAGACCAGCTAGACTGGAGTAGGTGTTAGGAGATGCTTTAGCTCAGCTGATTATGATTATTACAGTTGAGCAAAAGCCTGTTAATCAGCTTTCATTTAAAATCAGCTGTGCTGGAGCAAGAAAACCTCTGAAACCTGCAGGACTTTGGGGATCCCTGATGAACAGTGTTATTTCTGGTGAAAGATGAAATCTAGCTCATAACAGCATGTTGAGGTCTGTATCTCTGCTTCTGTCTCCTTGAATCCGTCGGCCTTGGCAGATGGCCGCTCCCACTGAGCCTGGTTTCTTCCTGTTAAATGGGAGTTTTTCCTCTCCACTGTCGCTACAAGCATGCTTAGTGTGAGGGATTGCCTTCTAATCGATGTAATCAACTGGTTTTCCTTCGAAAACTTTTAATCAAATTGACTGTAAGATCTGGTGAACTGTAAAGTGCCTGGAGGCGACGTGTTGTAAATTGGTGCTATATAAATAAACTGAATTGAATTTTAGGGAACAATTTAAATTCTTGGGCTCCTGAAGCTCCAACTTTTTTATGAATCTCTAAAACAAATGAAGTTCTGCTTAGCAGAGGCCTGGCAATGAGCTGCTCATTAGATCCAGGTTTGTTGGTTGGAGGTTTTTCCTTTCAGTCACACTTCACATCTTTAACATAAAGCACAATAAACAGAGGAGCTGTATTTACAGAATTTTATTTCATTATGCTGCAAACAATGACATCCAGATATATTGATACACAACTTCTTACTGTGCGTGTACGTGCGTTAGTGAGTGTATGCGTGTGTAAAGAGCAGTGAGACCACAGAAAGCTGGATGAAAACCCTGTGTGACGGAGCCCAGAGAGGGTTATCAAGGCAGAGATAGCAAGAGGGCACCGGGCGATTCTCTGGAGGGACACACAGGTCCCTAAAACAGCTGCATCGACTTTTTTCTTCTATAAAACACTTCAGTGTTCGGGCCTCATGCCTGTGCTCTCACAGCAAGTTATCACGATCTGTTGAGTGTCGACTTGAAAGATAATTGGTTTAAAAACAAGAATAAAAGAGGCGAGAACCTTTGCCTGCCCTCATCTCTCCATTTCAGTAGATGTGGTGGAAAAGATTCTTCTGTCAAAACATACAGACACACTCGCATGACCAGAACTAGGGCTGGGCGACAACACCTAGAATATCACCATAAATTGGGCCGTTTTACCTCGATAACGATAAATGCTCCTAACCTGACGAGCCAGATGCTCCAGCTCCTCCACCAGAAATAAAGGCATGTGCAGGATCTATTTATAATCTATTTATTGAATAAATCACATTCGATATTACTTCTAATTAAATATCAATTGTTCCCATTCAGGTTTAAACATTCAATAATGTCTCATTGAAGAGGAGAAACATTTTACCTGTCTAGCAAACATTTTTGCACAAATGTAGTGGAGCCTTTTGCACATTTTTTTACTCAACAGCGTGGCTGCGCCATAGGTGGTTGAGGTTGGATGCGTTACTTTGGGAAGTCCTGACCATTTTCAAACAAATTTTGCATTTCGTGTTCTCTTGCTCAACATCTATGGTGTAAGTTTGATGCCACCAAACTGATTGTGCAGTGAGACCATTGTTAATAGTTTAAACTCCCACAGCCTGGCTTAAAACCGGTCTGCCACGCGCTCAACTCTGGAAACATACTATTGACTTCTCTTCGCGCTCAGCTTCATCTCTGCTCTCGCTCGGCTCCACAGAATTTACTGATGTAATTTCTTTACAGCTTTTTTAGTCCCTTCTTCACTTCCATTTTCTTTGTTTACAACCCTGACCAGATCGGTGGAGTCGCGTGATTACACACAAGCTGCCGTGCCTTAAAGGGGAAGGAAAAACCAGCCACCAGCGCAAACAGGCAACAAAATTATTCATCGACGTATTTACCAAAATTAGAAAATTTGTGCCGGGTATCTTAGTGAATCATTGCAACGGTAAAATCTGGTTTATCGCCCAGCCCTAACCAGAACCTAATGCAATTATTCAGGACGCTGAATCTGGCTTGACTTTTTTTTTTTCTTCCTTACACTTTCCCTGTTTTTCTACAAAAACGCAGAAACAGGAAAATGAAACAAACACTAAACATAACCTTACCCATTGGTTTGAGTGCACTGTCAGTTAACCAGGACCCACCTGCACCAACACACAGACATTTACCCTTTGACCCAATGGGAAGTCATGACAACAGTATGGAAATTTGTAAATCTAACAGTATTGAATTCTTTTCTTTTTTATTTGTTTGAGTCACCATGCAAAGATACTTATCATTTTGAGAGTGTTTATTGTCAGAGATTGCGTGACATTTATTAAGCGTACCCTACATCCAGAATAATTTACACAAAAAGGACAATAGTCATCTTTATGGGGCTGGACCGGCGTAGGGAAGAAGGGGAGCGAGGAAAAGGTAAAGCGCATTGGTCAATGATTTGGAGTGCGAGAGGTGAGGGGTCGGACGTTAGGGCAGAAGGGAAGAAAGAGCTGAGGAGCGTAAGCTGGGGTGGAGCTTGTTTTCATCCTGGGAACAAGGGGAAGCAGGACAGGATGAGACACGGTGGCAGAATCAGCGGCACTCCCAGACTTTGACTGTCTGATCAACACTGCCTGTTACCACGTACGGAGCCGTCTTGTGGAAATCTGCAAAGAGGAAAACAATTTGTTCAGTTTTGTTTTGCATGTGTGCAGTAGAGACTGACACGGGAGTGGATTTTCACTCCTGTCCCGTCCCACTGCCACAGAAAAAAATGGTGTCCCGTCCCGATCCCGGGCCAGAGTAGAAATCTAAATCCTGTCCCGTCCCACTCCTGGTGAAATTACTCCCACTCCCATCCCGCTCCCATTCAGAATGACTCCCGCTCCCGCACCACTCCCATTCTTGTTGTTTTTGAGCGCGGGTGAAAAACTCAGAGCGGAAGTCCCGTCTGCTCCCGTTAATATTTAATCCTGTACCGTCCCAATCCCGTGATCGTTACTAATACTGACTCCCATCCCACGGGAATCCCGTGACCCGTGGGATTCCCGAAAAAATGTAAGTCTCTAGTGTGCAGCGATAGATGTAAACCTATGAACAAAGAAGAGCCAGTAGGATTCCTTCTTCTCTTTTGGGTATCTAGGGTGCAATGAAGATAAATCTTTAATAGGTCATTGAAGCCATGCAAATAAACACTGGAGTCACAGCAGGGCAACCTCCAAAAGGTATAATATGGTTTAAAAAATTATCATTCACTGAGAAGGTTTTATTCAGTCATGTGTGACATAAAAAAAACAGCAAAGTCCTCTGCAGTAACCAGTTTCAAGGTGATAAAAACAAAGAAACTCGCAGCAGATTGGTAAATAACTCCCTAATCAATGTCGGTACTTTTCCACTTCTATGACAAAAGGTAGAACAAGCAGCGATTTTCTCAAAACATAAACCTGAAATGTGCAAAGTCTGCAAAATGGAACAGCAGATTCTGTAAAAACTTTAACATGCTAACTATTTAGTTATATCTATAAATGAATGCAGTTACTCTAATACTACTCTAATTTCTAGGAGGTACAGATTTAAAATTAATTCAAATAATCCGTTTCTGATTGTAAATGAGCCATTGATACACATTGGTACACATCTTAAAAAGTACATTTTGCTGCTTTAATTGACATGTGATTTAAAAAAATTAAATAAAATTCTTATTTTATTAATATAATTAATGGAAAATACTTTATTCGCATTGCTCCAATCAAATCCATTGTAATAATTAGCATATTTGCATGCTTCTGCTGGCTGGACTGCTACTAAATGTTAATAATGTCAGTCATAAGAACCATGCATTTTAATCTGTAAATTAGGGGCTATAACGGTAAGCTAGTTTAAATCACATTTGTACATTTAATTCAAACATTTTTTAATTTTTCTTCAAATGCTATTTTTTTTTCTACGCAGTTTAATTAAGAAGGAAAGATAATAAGAGTAAAATATCTTGAATTGGTGGACGTCATATGATATGGTGGTTATATTTTGTGTTTTGATTACATCAGATACTAATAATTGTATTGAAACCAGTAATTACTTGTTACATTCATCTAATGCAGACTGATAAATGAAATCCTCCTCACCCAAAGAGGTAACAAAGTGTTCGTGAGCAGACAGCGTCTTCATGCAGCGTTTGTTCTTGTAGTCCCAGATCCTGATTGTTTTGTCGTCAGCACAGCTCACGATGAACCGTCCTCCAGGATGAAACATTATCCCACGTACCCAGTTGTCGTGTCCCACCTGAATATAAAAGACAAGATTATTAACCGTAAATCAGCAACGCAGAAAAAAAACATCTTAGAGTATCCTTTGCACCACTCACCAGAGTCATAAGGCATATCCCAATGCTGACATCCCACATTTTAATCGTTTTATCTCTGGAACCGGAGAGAAGGAAGGGGCCAGGCTTACCACTCTTTTTACTCTGCAGGACAGAGAGAGGAGGGATGATAAACGAGTGGACATCAAAGAGGCAGGTGGAGCTGCCATCAGCTTAAAGGAGAACCTCGGCTGCTATGATAAAAAGAAGTTATTTCAACATGCAGATTAGGATTTTTTGAAAAAGAAACCAACCTAGCGGCTAACCTGACCTGGTCTGATTTCTGACCACTTAGACTGGCCTACCTATAATTAATATTCATCAAAACGACCTACGGTCAAGATTTAAAATTCAAGCTACGTGACAAACAAAACTGTTAGTTTTCAATTTAATTACAGACGTATAATTTTCAACATGCCTGAAAACTATTTATAAATGTAATAAAACAAGCTAGATAAAGTTGTCTTCATATTATAAACCTGCAGCCAAAAGGGAACAGGGTTGTGATGTCACATCACAATGCAATGTCATGTGAAGAGCTAAGCTAGTGTTACGGTTTCTTGTTTTGCACAAAACGAGGTCATTTACTTGACTGGTAAAAATGTAAATTTACACTTGTTGAAAATGTCTGTAAAAAATGGTTGTGAATACCTATAGTGCAATATGGTTGCTCTGTATTGTTCTTTGCAGAAACAAATAAAGTTTTATAAAAAAAAAAATACATTCCCCGATAACATAAAAAAACAAAAACAAAAAAAGAGCTAAGCTAGTTGCCATTACTGTGAAGGACTCCTCAGCCTTCTGTGTCAGATCAAGTGTTAGACGTGTTAGCTAGGGTTCGCTTTGTGACATTAACCACAGAGTGTCGTCAGTCAGATGCCTGAGACAAGAATGCATCCATGTTTATTCCCAGCATTCATGACAAATGGCTTACTGTGGCGGTAGCCTTCAATATGGACCACACATCAACTTAATGAGATAATAATCTTAGTCATCAAATATTTCCAGGTTCCTAACCAGCGTCCAGGCTTTGTCTAGATGTTCTGAAGCTTAATTCCCTTTGATGATAAAAGCTTATGTTCACAACGATCACTCATCTTTTCAAAATGTGAATTAGCGCGCACTGTAAGCAGAGTTAAATCACATTAACTGGAATATTTGTGCAAAAGAAATGCAAACATTTCAAAACAGTTAATATAGAATGTTAAGTTAGCAGGAGCAAGCTGGGTTGTTTCAGATCCAACCCGTTTCAAATGTCTTTGTTAATAAGCCTCACCATATTTTACAATGAATGCAATCTTCCTTTAGGTTCCCTCATTTCTTTTTGATTCATCTGTTTTTCTGGCCCTGTAACCGTCTTCTGATTGCTGTTATAGAGCATTATTTACAGAGCTAAAAACCTCAGATCCAACAATGCAATACAGTTTTACTTCGCTGCTCATTCCATTTTATAACAAAAGCTGTCTTTTTTAACAAACTTCACAAAGTCATCTTTCACACCTTAATACGCTGGGGCACCAAATATTGTTTAAGTTTGATTGATCAGACTAAAAATGAAACAACAAAACAATTCTTTCCAGGCATCCATTTGATCTATGGATCAATCTTGACACCAATAAAAGCCGCTAGCAGATATAAGTCAGAATAAGCCCTGCTAAAGAATACCTCCGAGCCTGTAGCTTCCAGGATGGTTGGGTGAGCACTGTCAGGGCCCCAGGCGATGCACTCTACTACATGTTCATGCTCCCGCAGCTCAGCTTTGCACTCCTTTGAAGACACCACCCAGACACGCACGGTCTGGTCGTTGGAGCAGCTGGCGATCAACGAGCCGTCCTGATTTGGACGAACCATCCTCACCCACTCCCTATGGCCTGTAAATGTCTTCACACAGTACCTGCAGAAGCACACAGCTCAACTTACACAAGCCATTTAACCATTAAACTTATTCTAAAGAATAAGTTGAAGAAAAAAAAACTTCTTTAGAAATAAACTGAAGTACAAAAGGAAAGTATCCACTTACCCTGTAGCCACCTCCCACATCTTGATGGTCTTATCTCTGGAGGCAGAAACTATGTGGTCACCATTTGGCATAATTGCTACGGACGACACGTTGTGGTCGTGGCCTGAAAGAGACACAGTTCTGTCAGTGATCATTGTTCAGCCTCATACCGTTCATTCTAGTGAACCGTTTGAAATAGATTTGTGTTCATCACCATTTCTACTTAGATCCTAGCATGTCTCCACCAAGCTCAACAACGACCCGCTTTCATTTTCAAGCCATGTAGGTTGTTACAATAATGCACATTAAGTTAGGTTTAAACATAGAAATGTATTCAATTTCAAAATAAGCAGTCTTTCCACCCCCCTATTATATTTGGATTAAAAAATAATCCAATATGTCAGTTGTATAAAAAAACAAGAAAGAATGACATTTGGAGGCGATTCAGTTACAGTTCTGTTACGGGTATTAGATCTGTAAAGTCTCTCACCGTGCATTGTTCGGATGCACTCAAACCCTTGGAAGTCCCAAAGCTTGATGCTCATGTCAGCTGAACATGAAGCCAGCAGCTTTCCCGTCTGGTCAAAGGAGATGTCCTGCACAGAGTCTGTGTGTCCTTTGAGGGTCCGTTCAAAATCCCCTGCCTCATAATCCCACACCTGAAAATACAACAAAGAAATAACCTTAAACTCAAATAAAAAATCCTAAATCTAGAGCTGCATAGACAAATGGGCTAAAATGACTGGTGGCTCCACATTTTGGTGACTAAAAACCCCAGCCTCTCTGATCAGTGAACGCAACATGTACAGCCATGATGGTGTTAGGGAGGGAAAATGAATTAGTTATGTTCAGCACAAGTTTTAAAAATGAAAATCAAACAAATCAGGGATGGAATAAGTAGTTAAAATGCTTCATATAAGAGAAAAGACCTCTATGGATGATTTAAAACTAACAATTTAAGATGAAGGCAGTGCAGTCTTTAGTTATTGAACAACAAGACAGCTAAACTAGATGCTAATTAAAAGGCTAAAGCCAATTCAAAATCTGTAATTTGTGTGTTTTTTCTTGTATAATATATAGATGGAACTAAACATCTTCTGTTCTCACCCTGAAGAGAGGCAGGAATTGGCTAAAAGTCAAATACTAGCAAACTCAAATTCAAAATATCTCCACTTTCCTTGATGGGCACTTGGCTGGTCCCCTAATATTCCTTTCTTAAACATTACTATTTGCACTAAAATATTATTATTATTAGGGCTGCAACAACGAATCGATAAAAATCGACTTTTAAAAGCGTTGGCAACGAATTTCATCATCGATTAGTTGTGTTGCGCGATTAATGCGTCATCCGCCGCCGTGGGGCGCCTCCCCCATCCCAACCCAGTTTCTCACGCTCCCGCAGGAGTCCCTCTCTGCGCTGCAGTCAGAGCAGCAGGATGTTTATCCTCAGCGTCCAGACTGCAAATGAAGCGCGCATGCGCCAGGATTGACGGCGCAAATTGATCAAAATAATTAAAATAGCCTGCGCTTTGTAAAGCGGAAAAAGTCGTAACAGGCAACTTTTGTAAAAACAAATTAACATAACACGGAAGCACCACTCTTATGACGCAGCACCTGAAAAGGAAACAGGTTGGAGCCTTCGATGACAGTGAAGAGAGCTGATCAGCAGGGTGAGTGGCCATGTTTGTTTCATTTTAAAGTGGAAACGTTACGTTAGTTTCTCAGGTAGCTCCTCTGATGCTTTCCTTACCGTGTTAGTAGGTTACAGACAGTGATAAGGTTGGCTACTTATTTTACTTTTAATTTCATTTGAATTAGCTTAAGCAGCGTTTATATTGTCTTTATAAATAAAGTAACTTGCAAATTATGAGGGCAAGGCTTTTAAAGTTTAAATCTTCTGGCAAAGATAAAGTAAAGATCCTGCAATTTATGGAAGTAAAGCAGAATAAAATCCAGCAAGATCAGTAATATGTCAATTAATTATCTGCCACATTCCCATGTAAATATCTGTCTTTGGAGGATTTGTTTTTTAGCACCCCTAGTTCTCTCATTTTTATTCCAAATACAATTTATAATTTGAATCACAGGGCTATTTTTATCTCTATGGTTAAGTATTTTCTCAAGAAGCAACTTTAACTGCTATACTTTCCTGTCTTAAAAGGCAGAACTCTTCTAGTCTAAAAAACTCATTTGTTGAAATGGGGGGGCCTGTTGTTTGAACCCCTTGGGGGCTTTTAAAAACAAAAATGTCTTTTTTTGTGCTTTATGAAACAAAGTAGCCTATATTTTGTGGATGTACAGCTACATTTCTCATGTAAGTTTGCGTAGTTTTAACACAAACATTTATTTTTCATATTGCACCAGTACAGTTAATGAGCAACCTGTACTTGTGTGCTTGTTTGTTCTGTCTAAAAATTTTATTTTGGAATAACGAGGTTAATATAAAAAAATATTTTTTGTCCGATTCATCGATTAATCGAAAAAATAATCGGCCGATTCATCGATTTTTAAAATAATCGTTAGTTGCAGCCCTAATTATTATTATTATTTGGTCATACTCTGTAATTCAGTGAAAGGGTGGAGTCAGAGTAAAAGAGTATGCACACCCATGAGAGTGGCTGGAAGTTGGATCGGATTTTGCTGTCATTCGGCTCGCTTTTGACTGGGAAGGGCCATTTTGAATGGAAGCGAGACAATTTCATTCAGCAGCCCCATAGGATGTTTGGGAAATAATTTACAGACTGATTGAAATATCCAAAATAATATTAACAGAAACTCCATTAAAAAAATTAATTCTTACATATTTTAGAAAAAGAAAAACAAAACCAAAGCAAAATGCAGTTCAAGGAAAGTCACAAAAAGGACAAAAGAGAGATGAGGAATGGCAAAAAGCAGACACAGCAGAAAGTGAGAGGAGGAGGTAGATGACTACAGGTTAATAAGGAGGATCAGAGTATAAAAAGGAAAGCAGCCTTAAACCTACAGTACAGCTTTGAACTCGAGGGTCAGAGCTGCTGTGATGTGCTGCTAATTTAGCTTTTAAACCAGGGTTCCTCAGTTCCCGTCCTTGAATTCCGTTGTCCTGCAACTTTTAGATGCTTCTCTGCTTCAACACAGCTCAGATCATCAGCAGGATTCTGAAGAACTCGCCTTTATGCTGAGAAGGCGATTCAGCCATTTGATTCATGTGTTTGGAAGCAGAGCACACCTGAAAAGGTGCAAGACACCGGCCCTACATACTGTTAGTGATATTGAGGAATCCTGCAATAAACTGCTGCATGTTTTATTGATCTACTTTTGGTCAAAATTCTACCCTTCTCTGCATTTTCCTGGGAAAAAAAAAATACTACATTTATTTAATTTGTCAGACTATTTTACTCTGATGCCCTTTTAACCAAGACCTGCCTGCCGCAGACATAGATAACTCAGGTAGGAGAAGCTGCTGATAAGCTCTGCAATCCACAAACTCTGCTTTTACAAAAACATTGCAAGCCATCTATAAGGAGATGCAATTAAACTTAAACTTTTTGGATCATATGATAAACACTAAGGGGGCAACACCAACGGTCCAAATCACTGCTTTTGACAGAGAGCAGGTTGTTCCTTCATGACAATGACCATAAACATTCAGCCAACAGAGGACATATATCAAAGTCTACTACTGTGCTAGAATGGCTCAAAGTCCAACCATAAAACGTCAGCCAATAAAATACACTGAAATTTGTAGTTAGGAGATCCCAAAGCATGAAAAGGAAACTGGTGTGACAACTTTTGTTAAGAAGCATATTTATGGCCTAAAAACCAAGCTGAACACCAATAAGCTATTGAATCAGAGGAGCAGATGAAACGGTTGTTATAAAGCAGCAGAAAGCAAAATCAAAGGACCAATTTGTCCTGTGAAACTAAGGTTAGCTTTGAGCTGCAACAGAGCGTCTATAATGAAGTTGACATTTCATGGTTATAATTCATGACAACGGACGGTTTATTTCAGAGCAGCTAATCAAATGCCAGACACACCTTGATGGTAGCATCTTCAGAGGCCGTCACCATGACGGAAAACACCGGGTGAAATATGACCCTGGTGACTGGAGCACGGTGCCCACTCAGAGCGTATCGCTCTGGGGGGCGAGGGATCCACTCCTTCGGATCTCTCTTCTGACCGACAGGTCCCCCATACGTCATGTCCTCCTTCACCTCGTTCAGCTTCGACTCCAACTCCATCACCTAGGGCAGAAAGCAACGCATTTCGGAACATGACAGCAAAAGCTTCACTTATTTGATTAAAAAATAGTATGTAAATGTGTTTCTTACCTTCTTTTGTAATCTAATAACAGATGTCCATTTCTTTTCCAAAAGCCCCGCATACTTCTTATCTACCTCTTCATTCTACAACAGAACAAAACAGATTCTCAAAAAGAGAAACTCATCCATTATAAAATCACCTTTCCCCCCTAAATGTATTAATTTGAGTATTTGCCACTGCTTACAATATCTAATTCTGCTTCCTTCTTGAAGGTAGAATAGGCATCCTCGTATCCATTGGAACGAAGATAGTCAGCTATAGCTCGGTTTCTGGGGAAAGAATAACAGGTTGTTGATGAACACCAGCTCCTCCTTAACAGAGACTTATTTCACCTTAAAATACTGAAAACAGATGGATGTCACAGGTGTCATATTTACTAATTTAACCCTATATTTCTGTCTAAACAAACAGATAAACAAAATACAACCCAAGAAAAAAAAAAGAAAAGGAAAAGAAGTTCTAGCAAAGTGCTGTTGTTGCTATAGAAACCATCACCTCGTCAGAAGCTAGAGCTAGACTAAACTCACAAGTAGAGATGGACACCACAAACAGATGGAGAAAAACTTGTATATTTGTGAAAATGGTCCTTTTAAGACTGAAGGTGATTATTTGATGAGGAAAGTGCTAAATTTAGACTAAAACTTCAGTGAATGAACTGCTGCAGAGTTCAGACTTTAAACAGATTTTCCATCCTAAATAAACCCCATTTCCCCCATGATATTATCGCCGATGACTCCTGTATTTGAACAAATACAAACTAACTAAACTAACTAAAAACCAACAGTAATCTGCCCACATTAACCAGCCATCACTTGGTTAAGTTCCTCTCTGTTACCAATCCCCCCCTCACTCCTTCTCTGCTGTCATGCAGGTTATAAAAAATTCACCAAGCAGCTATCAAGTGAAGAAGCACCCAGAGCTCACATCTGATTTCACATTGTTGTGGAAGATTCAATTTCACAGACAAAAAGGATGTCTATTGAACAACTCCTTCAGGAGAGCTTGAATAATCCCACCATCTTCAGACATAAAAGGAAAATACATGTGACCCCTTGGTGCTTCTAGCCCAACTACTGCAGCTTGTTGTAATGAGCCTCAGTGAACATGTCTATTCCTGTTCACACGTGTCATGAACATGTAATCCTACTTCTATAGCACTCACAGTTCATCTCTTTGTCTCTGTGACAGCACCATGGTGGCTGCTGCTCTCTCCCTCCCGGGGAGGTGAGGATGAGGTGAAGTTGAAAAGTCTGGCAGGAGGGAGGGGGAATCCCACGGAGGATCGCAGGTGGCAAAGATGGAGCCACTCGGATGACAGAGATCTGGGGAGGCTTCTGGTAGACAGATGTGAAGCTCAAGGAAGGTTTACGATGTCACCTAGCACTCAGTGATTTATCACGTCCATCACCTCATGAAGAGAGAAAAACAGTGTGACTTAGCATTTATAAGGGAAACTTTTCACTGATGACAAGGGAAGTTTATAGGCTACAAGCTGCCAGAATAAAAAGTAACAAAAGCCATAATTCTTTGTTTGCAATAGAGATAAAGCACAGATATAACACCAGGCTCATACTGAACGTGGTAATACTGCTGTGCAGCAGTAGCATGAGCGCTGTGAGGAACTTGCATCATCAAAATCAATGTGCACATTTGGTAAAAATCTGAGGTAAATTTCAGAATAAAAAAGTCAACCCACAAGTGAAAACAAAAAAAGCAAAACAGAAACACAAGAAAATAGGATCTATTTATGAGGACGGACGACGAGTTTTGCCCTAGAACTCCGGGAAGGTGCATGAACTGCCTGCAGACCGTCCAGATTCCTGGTTTTCATTAAGATCTGATGATCAGTGTAAATTTTGGCCACATGAAGTCTGAGCCTTGTTAAATTAAATAAACAATGCAACATTGTTTATGAAAGAAATATGCTGCAAGCGGATCATCACGGTTACAGAGCTGTTAATAGATTCACACTTTTCTAGTTCCTCATGTCGGATATTCTGGTCTTTTGTTTTTTTTTTATTGCTGAGTGATTAATTCATTTACCTCTCTGTACCACTTCCTGCCAGGATACTGACATTTACTGCTAAGGTGTCCAGAATGTAATCTTTTTATGTCTGATTTATAAAGGGAATTAAATTACCCAGTTTTTTTTTTCTGCAGGTCTTCTCTGTGTGACTGTGAAAACTTAGGCTCTAAAAAAAAGGGGTAGTTCATTCTGAGGTGGAGTCATATGAATTTCTGCTTTTATTTTTGATTTAAATAACAAATCAAACACACCAACACAAGTCACTTGTTTTCACAAAATTGAAAATGTCATTCAGTTACTGACAGGTTATGATAGGATTCAATTCTTGATCTCTACTGAAGGTTGGTGCTGAAAAAGCACTAATCCGCTTAGCAGCTCGACCAGACAACACAACGTCTGTGTGTGCATGCGTGGGTTTAAACGAGAGCCCTCTAGTCCTCCATACATCCGACGGTGCAACATAAAGGTGAGATGGAACGGTAGCTAACAGGATTACTACCAAACACTGACTGAGGACCTTAACTGTCAGCATAAAGTCTAATTAGTCTTCTTCTTTGCAATATACTAGACCAGCTAAACTCTAAAACTACAATTGAAATATCAGACATGAAGAAAATGAAGCAATGTTTATTAGAATATAGTCCTGTAAATTTGTTTCAGCCAAATGTCTGTGTGTCTATAAAACATTTGGCACAGAGCCCATATCAGATACACACTTTATAAACAAAGTTGGTGACGTTAGGCACATTTTAATGAAGAAATGTTAATTAAGAAGAGAGAAATGTGTGGTTTAATGATAACTGATATCACCATTGCAATGGTAGGGATGTGTTTCATTTTCCTATTCTTTACTGATTCCCATATAAATTCCTGAACATCAAACCATAAGCAAAAAAATGTTTTTAAATGCTTTTCCCTCTGTCCTTACAGATAACATTAACTACCATTATTGTATTCACTTCCTGTTAAATGGTAGCATAATACTAGTATTAAAGTTGTGCAATATGTACAAATGTTCCAGTCAATATTCGACATTCCAACAAATGGTGATGGACGATATATATGTGCAGGTGACTTTGTGACCAAAGACTAGCTAACCTCCAGAGGGCGTCTTCTGCACCGCTGGTAATATTGTTAACCGCCTGCAAACACTGCTAAAATCCAATAATGTTAACATGCTTGTTTTCTTGTCAAATGTAGTAAAGTTTGGTCCAGTGGGAATAGTTTCCTCTTTACCAGTTGTTCTGACTATGTTAGTTTTCTGATCGTTATATATTCGTCTATCTGAATGTGCAAAATAGAACAGATTGAAAATGTTTTCCTTTGGAAAGCTTTGATTTTGGCTGTTTTCTTTTGTTTTTGTAGCATTAAAATCGAATTTGCAACAGGCAGGGGGGAAAAAACGCTTCAGCTGGGAGGAGTTTGAGTGTACCATTCAATGGTGAATGACTGAATCTATCATCAATGGTCAATCTATCATCAAATAGCAGAAAACTGCACAGCCATGTAATTCAGGTAATGGATAAAAAATGTATAACAATTATCTTAAGAATCAGAAACAGTTCTAGAAAGTTATATTGGTACCCTTCCCAATAACATGGTGCAATCCTATTGGAGATATTTAATGTATTTTTAAATTGTTTTTAATACACTGTGCTGTTTTATGAAAATATGCAGAACAAAAATCTATTCAAAATTTTGTATAATGTTCGCAACTAATGCATTTAACCCACTGCTGTGTCTCAACAAGATCCCAAGAACTCAACCTTGGAAGCAGGAAACGTGAAATATAACAGGAGTGACAGGAGAGAGCAGTGATTTCAGCTGAGAGTCTGTCACGGTGGTTCAAAAATAGCCAGTTGACCAAACAGGCCAGGCTCCAAACTATTACATAAGCAAAACAGACACTGGCTTCTGCGTCTGCTTAGATACCTGAATCTTAGAAACTGCACTCAAAGTGTCTCTCAGGGCCTGTTCTATAGAAACAAGGAAGGAATCGAGCCTGGGTCTTGTTTCCCTTACCCTAACAGAACCAAAGCACTGCACAAATGCTGAAGTTTCAAAATCTAGACACCAAGAAAAGGATCAGAGTTATAAAAAAGTACAAGGTCCTGTTTATTTATCAGTTTATCAAAACAACAGGAGCAAAGATGTGTAATTGTCTAAAATACAGTCCAATTCTGAAAATGATGACGGCACTTAGTAAGAAATGAGAACAGCAGCATCTGAACTGCAGCAATGCTTTTATGTAAAATGTATTTGTTTAAAAATGAGACAGTGTTTACTGAATCTTCAGCATGAAAAATGCCCCTCGCTGAGTTTGCACGGGCAAAGTTCCTTGATTAGAATGACAAGCAAGCAAAACAAAAATCCCAAAATTACATAAATAAGAAGTTTATGGTCTTAAAATCGTAAATTCATTCATGAACGTGTATGTTTACTTGTAAAAGGCTTTATTAGGAATAAAAGCACTCTGACAGAGAACTAAGAGCTGCCCCGGCCAGGTTCTGAGAGCCGTTTAATCTGTATAGATGGACTGATCCATTTTTCCCCAATCCAATCATATGTCGATACATCAGCTGAGCACATCGGCTGATATCTAATACCGATCCGATACTACTGTTGAATGAATTGACCGTGCGTGTACCTTTCCAAGTGAGTAAAGGGATGCATAACATAAACATTGTTAAAAAAAAAAGGAAACAAAGGAACAAAGATTTAAATCATTAATTGCTGCTGTTCTGCTTTGTGCCATGATTTATCAGCTTTGAAACAATAGGATTGAGGTAACTAGATCACTGTAACAGTTTTGCAGTGAATGATATTAATAAAAATCGATATTAATGGCATGAAAAGCTGAATCAGCATAATTTTTCAAATACAGCTAATTAGTCAATATCAGAATAGATATCAGAGTATCAGATCGATGCATATCTGCTAATCTGGTCACAATATTGCAATGGTGCAACCGCACCAAATACTTGCGTCCATGTAAACATACCAATTGTTTTGTTGCAGGAACACTAGCTGATGATCGTTGCTGCGCTACAACATGTTCAGTTCATAATCCTGATAAACTGACTGCACAGAGGATGCTCGGAGGTCGACTTTCTTATTTAAAAAAGGTGCTAAAACTTATTTTTCCAATTCATTAAAGTAAATAAAGCCAAGCTGCTCTCTAGCTTGAAGCAACAGAACAGAGCAGATAAACAACCAGAGTGTTGAAGCGTCAAACTTGACCTCAGTTTGCTTCAGCTGCAGATTTCTGCGTTTGTGCATTTTGATGCCCATACTGCGTTCCGTGTGAACGCAGCATAACATACGAGGCTGGCTCTTAAGAAAAACAAGTTAAAACCGATATAAAAAAATACATTAATAAGGACTTTAATAATCAAAGCTCAATAAAAATCTGAAACAAAAATGTCAACATTTCCAAAATTCCTCATAATTGGAATTATAAACAAGTGAGTTGATAACTGTTGATGAATTCCAGTAATTTATGCAAACATTTATTTGTAGATACAATTGGAATTGTCCTTGAAAGCAAAACAAAAGAGAAAACTTTGGGGTATCTTTCTTTCTTCCTTCTATAGTGTTTATCTTTATTATTATTTATTTATTTATTATTTATTTATCTTTATCACTTTATCTCAAACACAATGTGTCCCAATTAGAATTTCTACAGTGGGCTAAGTTCAGTAAAATAACCACTAATCAACACATTCTGAGTCTCTTCAATATTATTAACCTCTTTAGAGAATTTTATGTACATCTTAACATTTTGTTTTGATCAGTTGCAAACATTTCAATTATATTAAGTGAACAATGACTCAACAACACACTAAGTGGGAAGAGGATTGTTACACGATACAGAGTTTGATTTAATTGGATTTAGTGGAGAAAAAAAACAAAACAAAACAGCATGACGACAAATCTTGTCAACATAATAATTCAACTGCATCAAACGTGTGCAACCAGTGTGACCATTCAGCTAAACATGTCCCTGAGGAGCCAGGCTTAGCAGTTTATGTTTACAATTCAAACATCAAGTTTGTTAATGAAACTGACAGAGAAAATTCTATTGCAATCATCCATTTAATAATGTTTGAACATTGTAACACTGAACAAAAGGAATTGCCTTCGAGTCAATGACATCAACTGGTTTTCCTTAATATGAAAACTTTGAATCAATTTGACTGTATGATCTGGTGAACTGTAAAGTGCCTTTAGATGACATTTGTTGTTAATTAGCGCTATAGAAAGAAAGTGAATTAAAACTGAACTGAAAAGCTGCTGTTCAGGTAATAATCGTATAATGCAAAAGCTTTATAATAGGACATAAGCTACAGTCTCATTTAATTTTCCAAATTAAAGAGTTATAGGGGGTAACGCAAACCAGCCAAGAGAAAAGAGAAAACCTAACTACAGTTATCTCCCGGAACTACTTGTTGCATTGCATTACTAGGATAAACATTAACCCATAGACTGATTTTAGGTTGCTGCAAAAGATATTCAAATGGATATCTGCAAAATAAACACTTTTTTTTGGCAAGCGTTCAGATATCCGTTAATCTTCTGCAGCAAGACTTCAAATGTACTTTGATAATAACCTTATCATTATGAGTCATTAACTTGATTTAATAGCACTCAATTATTCACCAGTAAGCTTTTAACAACATAAGGAAAGCTGGATGGAGTTTAAACTTCAGGAAAAGTTACTTTTTGACTCATTGGCCAAGTGGACCAGAAGATACAATTATTTACCAGCCCAGCATATTTTTACTGACCAGAACAAAATTGTTAAATGCAAACTAAGTTAGAGTAAAATAAATGTAGTTTTAGTGAATGATGTTGCAATTTAGAGTCTCATAAAATTTCTTTCAATAAAGTGCACATGCAAAATACTCTTATTTGTTAGTGCCCATAAATAAAACCATAAAAAAAAAAGGAAAACTATTTTAACTTGTTGTATTGTCCATTAAAAAAAAAAAAAAAGAGTAGCCTTTCTTCCAATTGCATGGGCAGTGCAATATAATATATATAATATAGTCATCAGCACACCTGTGGTGGCATGAGTTGTTTCAATTGAGTCTGAGATCGGACATCCAGGGAATGGTTTGTGTACAAGGAGGCCCTACGGTTTCATTGATCGATAGCAAGCGATAAATTGATTGCATCTGTTCCGTTTTACCACACCAGATCTAGCATTGTCCTGCATTAAGGGCTCATTATGTTGACACACAGATATTGCACGCTGAAAGAAGTAGAAAATATGGCCATTTACAACTTTATCAAAGCCTCTTCGTGAAAGTTGAGAGCGACAGTCATCTCTTTCCCAGAGTTTTTCCAGAATATGTTGATAGTGGTGATATTCATGAGCTAAATCATGCAATGTGAGTTGATGTTTACATATGTGAACCCTGGCCAGCAGGAGCTGCTGCTCGCCTGCCATGTTTTTTGCGGGGATCAGTCCACATAGTTACACATTTTCCTTATTTCACATCTATAGAACATCTTAAAGGAGAAGTTCGGTTTTTAACACTTTTAGCCCATTTTCTGTAGTGTCCAGGATGAAATCGAATGATCAACACCAAAATTTTGACAATTGGTCCTGTCTCTGCTTTTTGGCTCATTTAGAATCCACCCCTGGCTGCTTTAGAATGGCTTCCATAGAGCATGTCTGATAATGTCCTTAAAACAACCTTAAACGTTCTTTTTTTTTTAAATATGCTACTCACCGGGTCGTCAGCGCTGTTCAATGACGTTCCGAAAAAAGTTTCGCGAAGAAAAAACGTTCCTGTAGTGTTTTATTTAGCATTTTGTAAATCCCATTGAGTTCTGTTGGAATAGTCAATATCCCCCTGCCACCGGAAACGGAAATGGGGCCTGTTTACACAGTTGTAGTCTTTTCGCTTCACTCTGTGTACTCCGACGTCGAGGTGCTAACGTCTCTGTTAAACACTTTAAAAAACTCTGAAAATGGAATACGAAAGGTGGATTCTTGATTCTCGACGTCGGAGTACACAGAGTGAAGCGAAAAGACTACAACTGTGTAAACAGGCCCCATTTCGGTTTCCGGTGGCAGGGGAATATTGACTATTCCAACAGAACTCAATGGGATTTACAAAATGCTAAATAAAACACTACAGGAACGTTTTTTCTTTACGAAACTTTTTTTAGAACGTCATTGAACAGCGCTGACGACCCGGTGAGTAGCATATTTAAAAAAAAAGAACGTTTAAGGTTGTTTTAAGGACATTATCGGACATGCTCTATGGAAGCCATTCTAAAGCAGCCAGGGGGGATTCTAAATGAGCCAAAAAGCAGAGACAGGACCAATTGTCAAAATTTTGGTGTCGATCATTCGATTTCATCCTGGACACTACAGAAAATGGGCTAAAAGTGTTAAAAACCGAACTTCTCCTTTAAAAAATGTGTTTCACTTAGATTTTAGACCAAGAAAACAAGTTATTCTATCCGTACTAAAAACGTGGCAAGTTCACAATACATTCTCATCTCCTACAAATTTGACAACCAATAATATAAGTCAATGTACATGAGACAGCAGTAAAAGACTTTACGGATTTGAAGCTGTGATCAGGAATACCTAGATACTGATTTTGTGATTGACTCCAAAAATCCATAATTTATCATATCCATATGAGGGGCCCAAATATGCACCCCAAATTGAATCAATGAAAATGGAATGTAATACAAATCCTTAATATGGTATATTTGTGTGGAAGGATAACAAATACGTTCCTTTAAAGGGAAGAATGCCACCATTGAATATTAACCCAGTAACAGTATTGGAGGACTTTATCATAAGTCTAAATTGTTACACAACTATAGTGTCTTTGGTAACAGGCTTCCCCCGATCCGGTGTGAGAAATAGGGCTACAGAAGATCCCTGTGTCTACAGAGCTATTAACAGCCTACAACAACTGGTATAAAAAATGCATTAATGCAGCATTTGATTTTCCTGTGTTATCAATTGAATTGAATTAAACTTATATGGAGCCACTGAAAATAAAACATCAAGTAAGAGTGGGGGAGTGGAGGCCTAGTGCTCAGGGCATAGGGATTGGAATCCCGAGGTTGTGAGTTCGAAACCCACTCACACACTGCCACTTTGGCTCTCTGAGCAAGACCCTTAGGGCCAACTTATGCTTCTGTCGTATTCCCTCGGCAACCATCTGCCTCTGTGCGCGACCGCAACACCCATCCCCCTCCCCCGGTTTCTTTCTGGCTATACATTGGGCGGTCGCAAACTGGCCCAGACCTCAAGCGGAAGTGCTCAGACAAAAAGCAGCTGTGATTGGTCCTTGGTATGCCTTTCCAGCTGTCTGTGTGGTCGTCCTTCTCAATTCGGTGCCCGGGCGTGCCATTTTTAAAAACAGAGGAACGACTATAATGGACAACACAACGAAAGGTTTATCGAACAGAACCTGTTCCTCTTCTATGTCTAGCAACCCTAGATCCATCTCAGTGACCTTGTTTTGGAAGATAAACACTCCCTCCACAGCCGGCAAAGTTCTCATGACCATCCGCCAAAGTTCTCGCGAGTTCTAGAATAGGTTCCCCCTTGCGCTTTGTCGGGAAACTGCTGTGCGTCACTAGAAATTCCACGGACGGTGCAGAAGCATACCAGCAAAACTGGTTCACAACTAGACCAAAGCGACATTTGATGTGTGTGGTTGCAGAAGTCTAATCTGCCCTTTAACCCCCGACTGCTCCCCTGGCACTGTACCGTGGCAGCCCGCTCAGAGATCAATAAAACTGAATTTATTTATTTCAAATAGTTGTCTGGCGTAAACTCTAAACCACACTTAATACACAACAATAAGAAGTTAAACTCATTTTCAGCTGCACTGTCAACAAAATGAACAAAATGGGAGGAAAGAAGCCCAACAATTAGTTCCTCTTCCTTTGCTTCAATAGAATCCACTGTTGGATCATGTTTTGCTAATCAATAAAACGTATATCTAAACAAAAACAAAGACTTCTTAGTGTGTTTAAATGCATCTGCTAAAATATTGCAGGCTTACCACTCCTATCTATGCATAGGTTGTCATAATGTATAAGTATAATGGCAGGAATCAATATTTTTCTCATATTTGAGATAAGAGCACTTTAATTTATACGTTTCTCGGATAATTGGACATGCATAAGCCACCACAGATCATGCAGAGCAACAAGATTCAACAGTAAAATTCAGATGCTATAATTCAATTCCACTTACTGATTAAACCCGTTCCATAAAGATGAACAGTTTTCTTGCATTTATCGCCACCCCGACCGAATAAAAAAAGATCCGAACCTTATTTCGATTTTTTTTTTTTTTTGTTTGTTGTTAAAAACAGGAGAGAGGATGGGTCTCTCAAAGCTTCTAGAGGCGCAAGGGCAACGTTGCAGCATTGGCTCATCAGCAACGCCCTTTCCAGCTAAGATTAGCCTAGCCTAGCACACTAAACACTCAGCTAAGCTGTCAATAAGAGCAGCGGACTCATACCACCAGAGTCTAAAACACTAACGGGATATTTTATGTCAAATAGAAGATAATCAAAGCAGCGTATTAAAAAATTATCTATGCATTAAATGTCATCAGGGAATACATGCATCTCCAACATGAATAACGCTGTTGGCATATTGGATGAAATGCTCAGTCAAGGACACATATGATTAGATCTGAACACAACCAGTAAGATCAACAATATAAATACATTTAAGTTGTAAAACCAAACTGTTATTAATCGTAAGAAGCCTTGTTAACTCATCACATCAGAACTTCCATAAAAAAGGCGTAGCTAACGTTAGCCACCTCGGTTCCAAAACTGCAGCTTTGATGCAACCACGAACTAATGAGGAACTTCACATTTTCTTTTAAATAAAGATATTTTATACAGGCAGGAAAAGTAATATAGTCCCACATTATTTAACGTTTTACCTTAAATAGATACAACTTTGCTTCTCTACTTAGCCTCGGTTAGCTTAGCTTTCGGCCTCTCCGCCATTTTGAGGTAGGAACGGGAAAGCGCAGACACTGCAGGCGAGCCGTCGTCCAAAAAGCAAAACAAGTCTAACCAAGAGTCAAAACAAACGAAGGGGCGCGTGTAGAAACGTCTAACTTACCATTCTATACGTTAAGAACTTCATATTTTCCTTAGCAGATCTGTGCATGTCCTGGGGCGTTGTATGGTTTCACTGCGGTATCGTGACTTCACACATCAGCCGGGTAAGGACGGTCAGATTTTCCCCTCTCTCCCACTACCACCACCACAGCAGTCAGTCAGTTGGGTCCCGGCTAACTGACGCGATTCGACGTCGGGAGCGCGCACGTAGTGGGCGGGGGCGCATAACGGCTACCTACGTCACCCTCATGGTTTTGAACAGAGCCATGGCTCTGGTTTTGATCAAATTGGAATTTTAGATAATTTATTGTGTTGATTAACTGTGGCATCTGGTATTTTTGTCACCTTTGGTACTGTTTTTCTTTAAACTGTTTTTCTTTATTTTGTCATTTCTTATTATACTTTTATTGTTTTCTGTTAATGCTCCCCCTGGCAAATGTTTTTGTTGTTTTGTGATATGTACACAATGCAGTTTTGTATTGTTGTGTATTGTCAATAATAAAGTTTATTAAAAAAAAAATGCTCTGGTTTTGAAGGAAGAGGATTAGGGCCACTGAAAAAATAAAAAAGGTTAACTGATTTTCAAATTTTATTATTTCACCATAATATGACAAAAAAGTCAGAATTCTGACTCCAATCTCAGAATTCTGATTTTTGTCTCAGAATTCTGACTTTAATCTCAGAATTCTGACTTTTTTCCCCCGAATATTTACTTTTTTCTCAGAATTCCGACTTGTCTTCTCAGAATTCTAACTTTAATCTCAGAATTCTGACTTTAATCTCAGAATTAAACATATTGGCATCAAGCCGTAGCAATGTCTGTTTTAGAGACTAGCTCCCTTGTTTTATTCACCTTCCGATCTTCCATTCATGAAATAGCATCACCAGGGACCCCTTGGGCACGTAAAAAGTCACCTAATTCTGAGATTAAAGTCAGAATTCTGAGTAAAAAAGTCAGAATTCTGAGCAAAAGACAGAATTCTGAGAAAAATGTCAGAATTCTGTGATTAAAGCCAAAATTCTGAGAAAAAAGTAAGAATTCTGAGATTAAAGCCAGAATTCTGAGAAAAAAGTAAGAATTCTGAGATTAAAGTCAGAATTCTGAGAAAAAAATTCAGAAATCTAAATTTTTCCCCATATTAAACAAAAATAATATTTAAAAAATCAGTTAACTTTTTTTTTTCAGTGGCCCTAAGCATCTTCTGTAGGTTTTGAAGGAAAGCTTCTTAGGCTTTTTTCACCAGAAGGGCTGCACAGTTAAATAAATGTATTGAAATTAACAAAATAGTTTGTATGAAGATAGCCTTTTCTATGCCCAGCAATACTATCTCTCAAATGTTTTATATTTATATTTAATGTTTTTTATTTATTTTTTAGATATTGTTATTTGAATTTATAAGATGTGAGAAAATAAAAATTTCCCATGGGGCTGAGTATGTTATAAGATGCATGGATGGGTTGGCAATAAAAAGCATATGGAAATCATTAAATCTTTTTAAAAATAAATGTTAAGTCAGGATTTTTTAAATATAGAAATTTCCTTACGTTTGGGACAATATGGTCTGATAAAGAGTACATTTATACACGATTAAGCCAGAATGATTTGACATTTAAATAAGACTTTCCTATGACTTTATATGGATTAGACAATTCACAAATACTTATTTATAGCAATGTTTCGATTAGGTTTTTTTAAATACTGTTTAGGTGAAGGTTTTATGAAATAAAAATAAAAATCAGTATCTCCTTTGATTTTTAATGACCTACCCAAGCTTTAATTTTTAAGACCTTGTCTTGTTCCTCTTATTTATTTTATTTTTTTAGCATATTAGCATATTTCAGTGGGGATGGTTTTATCTGTTTTAGTTTCCTCTCTTAGGTTTACGAGTTTCCCCTTATTCATAGCATCTGTTTACCTTGTAGCCTTTATCCACTTTAACACCAACCTTCAGCAACATTTAGACTTTGGCAATCTCTATACCAGTCTTATTCATTAATTTATATTTAATGTTATATAAAGTAATTATCATTGCATCTTACATGTGTTTCAGAGCCAAGGAGAGGAAAGCAAGAAGATGGACAAGGGGAGTTGTTGGACTACTACAATAATTTGATACATGAAGTCACCCAAACATGATTATTTATAGTTATTCATTTATTTATTAGCTACAGAGTTACTTAAAATATAATTGGATAAGGTAAACGGATTTGCTGATATAATCTTCTGGTGTAAAAGTTCAGTTAAATTTAATTCAGGTTTATTTATATAGCACCCATTCACAACACGTGTCATCTCAAGGCAATAAACAGAGATAATTTCAGACAGTAAACGTTGACTTGCATTTTTTCATCAACTCTGCATTTGCAGACAAATGGCGACAAATTCCCATTTGCCAGCTAAAATTGATTATTCTGAGTGATGACTAAAGAACATCAATTTTTAACGTTCATGTACATAAATAAAAATGGCACGAGTGTGTAACCTTGTGGACATACAAGGGATTGCAAGATCAGAAATTGAAAAATCAAGTCCTCTTATTGACTTTGGGTTTGAACCTCTCTTAAATACTTTATTTTTCAGGTGAAAACTTGTTGGTCTAACATGATTTATTAGTTGGTATAGACTTTATTTGTGTCTAGTTTTCCTTGTGCTGTCCACCGTTAATGTCCTTTCTGGTAGTCATTCCAAAAAAGTTAAAAACAATCCACTGAACTTTGTTTCCAAGTTTGAAGACATTTCACTTCCATGCAGGAAAGTTTTTCAAGATATTTCTCTTCTTGAAGACACAAATTCTTAATGGCAGCTTTTGGCCCATGGATGACACAGCTGGCACAACTTGTTATTAGGTTGATTGAGTGATTATGTTATTTTCCACAAAACCAGGTGAAATTAGATAGCTTTTTCTTACAAAAAAAATTTATTTGAAAAACTTTTCATTTCTTTAGTGAGATTAATCTTTTGTCGGCACAGTTTAAATTAAATTACAAAACAAGAGGTTGTTAACTTAAGATTATTAGAAATCAAATACTGGAAAATTAGCTCGAACAAAGTCCTCTCCTCCTCTTCTTCTCCCTAAAAATAATCAAATGAATAAATTTAATCTAACAAAAAAATAAATAAATAAATTAAAGATTAATAGGTAAATCATTTCAAAAGCATTAAAGTTAGTATAATACTAAAGAATATAAATACAAAATAAAAGATAACTTTCTTTTTTGGGGAGAAGAAATCAATTCAGGTTTTCTTTCCACCTGTGGCCCAAAAGACCCTCGCATAGGAACGAACGTGAGGATCTCTCTAAGCACTGAGAGGAAGGTTGTAGGTTCCACCAGAAGGTACAGTAGCCCCCCACACCCAAGTGAGAGAAAATGGCCTTATATTATGGGTTAGGGTTAGGCCTTATATTTCTAGTTTCCGTGGCTCATTCTCCCCCCTGACCTGTTTTCAAAACAAAGCAGGAGTTAAATGTGTTAGAGTTAATGCACAGCTGTTTAAATTGGTAATAAAGGGGATTGATATAAGGTTCAGATAACACAACAAATAAAGTTTAATGAAAAAGATTTAAAAAAATGAACAGATTTTGTTTGTTTAACAATAATGGGCTCTATGCACAGCTCCACTACTTCCTGAATTTAAAGCAGCTCCTTTGTTTCCTGTCTTTCATTACTAGACGAACTGATTAATCCAGGTGTGTCTGGCCAGTTACTTAGGTCATACACACCTGGATTAATCAGTGCATCCAATCATGAAAGACAGGAAACAAAGGAGCTGCTTTAAATTCAGGAAGTAGTGGAGTTGTGCATAGAGCCTATTGGGCATTTCTTCAAATAAGCAAGGAACGGTGTCATTATTTAAATGCTAAAGTTTAATTTGTTAACCTTAATTCTTTAAAGTTTGGATTTAACTTTACAAGGGTAAATAAATCTTTATGTGTAGAGCAAAATAACTTAAAAATAAATTACGCTGATTGAATTTGCTTTTAAATTATTGACAATTCATGAAGAAGTAAATGTATCTTAGGCTGATCTGGAATAAATATGCAAATTTATTTAACATAAGTAATTGTTAATAATTATACGGCATTTCAATGACTCAATTGGAAATAATAATATTATTTAATAATAAGAATAATAATGATAACAAATTATAATAATGATTAAAGTGACAGAGGATATAGATAAGAGGATTTAATTCCTACATTAAGATGAATAGTGGAGGCTTTAAATGACCAATTCTTAATGAATCCAAAGCTCAGATATATCTGGAGGTTAAATTGACTGAAATTCTTGGGGGGGGGGGGTTCCTTCAAGAGGACATATGTTATTTGTTCTGATGAAGAAAAAAAAGCAGTAAAAGAATATAAAACAAGAGAAAAACAGCAATCCTAAACTCATAAGGTTCCATATAGATTCTGTTTATTATTCCATCTGTGAAATGTTATTCATGTAGAACTTGGGTTGGTAATTGAGAGCAGAAAAAATAAACAACCTAAATAAAATACTAATTTATGACTAAACCAATAAAGTAAATAAATAAGGGAATAAAATGGCCTTATAAAGGAAAATTATCTATTAAAGTAATTATTAGCAGCAGAGGACAGAAACAACTGCTAGACTTCTCAGAATCAGAAATTATGGAAGCCCGTTTCCGCCACTCTGTAAAAAAAAAAAAAAAACTATCTCAATATAATGAGATAGTAACTCAATATAATGAGATAGTATCTCATTATAATGAGATAGTAACTCAATATAATGAGATAGTATCTCATTATATTGAGTTACTATCTCATTATATTGAGTTACTATCTCATTATAATGAGATACTATCTCATTATATTGAGTTACTATCTCATTATATTGAGTTACTATCTCATTATAATGAGATACTATCTCATTATATTGAGTTACTATCTCATTATATTGAGATAGTTTTTTTTTTATTTTTTACCAATTTTTAAGTTAAAATTGAGTATTTTTGGTCAATAGCTCCCAGGTCATGCGACCTATTGATGCAAAATCAGTGTGAAATTGTTCTACTAGTCTCTGTAGATGGGGCACACTCATTTGTTTTGCATTTTAACTCTTTTTTATTTTTTTTACCAATTTTTTTAGTTAAAATTGAGTATTTTTCGTCAATAGCTCCCAGGTCATGTGACCTATTGACCCAAAATCAGTGTGAAA